AAAACGTAATAACAGTAGAGAATTTCCTGATCAATTTGCCGATGCCAAATATCAGAACCCAGTATTTGTCTTATGCATTTTTAATACCCAAGTTTGAAAAGGTGACAAAGTTTCATGCGATTCTTTTTCTTACAGTTAGGGTGATCACACATGCCACATTAAGTCCCTGAGTGAATAAAGGTAAGAATAAGCCATGCTGACCTGTAATGTATGTGTACACACGTGTGAGCTGGCTGACCTGTCTGCGAAGCAGAGGTGAAATGGAGATGACACCTGGAAAATTCTGATAGTTGATCTTCAGGCACTGGAGCCCATGGCTGTTGGCTATTCCAGGCCTGACACTTTTCCCTTCCTGGTTTTCCTAATCTTCCATGAAGAGGAGTAACAAGAAGGGCTAAATCTGCACTGCAGATCCACTTACCTCCATCTTCAACAAGCCAAATATGTCTGGGTCAGAGCAACATAATATGGCACTTTTAAGTGTGAAATTGATTTAAGTGTTTTTTTTTATCGCAGATTGTGGCTAAGGAGAAGGGAGAACAAAACTTACAGGCAGAGGTTGAGATGTATTAGGCCATTTAGCTAGAAATTTAAATAAAGCTGCTCAAGTTAGGGCCTCTTTCTAAAGCATCTCTGTGGTGTCCTATGGGACTTTTCGAAACCTGTTTGTACAAAGTTTCTATTTCCGAAAAAAAATATCTGCCTTGTGTGTTTTGCTATAACACACACAAGCGCTATTGCAGGAAAGGCAGCTTGGCCTTTGAGTATGGAAAAAAAATCATGTAACTATGGAAATAAAAATTCAGCCTTCTGCGTGAACAACAGATTAGGCCTGTTTTAGCCTTGCATGTTACCCTTTACAGTCTCTCTGTAGGAAAATGGGATATTTTAGAAAAAAAATAAGACCCATAGGATGATTTTGTAATCCCTTAATATAAAAGATATGTATTATTAATCTGTCTTGTGTAATTGGAATATAGAGAAAACGTAATAGTTTAGGCTGCATTCTTTAATAATTATATGGGGTTTTTTTCCAAGCCTGATAATCTGCTATCTCAGGAATATTGTTGTGCACTTCAGCCCGCCTGTAGAGATCAGTCTTAAAAAAAATAAAAATAAAAAGGCTAAAACTAAAATTATATTCCCTGGCAAAGCAAGTTAATTTTTAACCTAATGGGGTAAAAAAGATCAAGATGTTTTATAGCAGAGGAATACTGAAATATTTCAATAAGGACAGAGTAGCATTAGCCACTTCGTAGTGTAGACTGGACCTTTGCAACCTAAAAACAGACCTGAGTGTTCTTCTAATTCGTGTTAGGCTGCAGATAGGGGAGAAAAGTGTTGAGGTCTTTCTGGGAAGAAATTCTTCATATAGGCAGGAGAAACGGAGGAGGCAACTTGGAAGACATGTCTGCCCCTTGCAGAAGAGCTGGGGTCATACGGCCACATTTAGCACCAGAAAGGAAAGGGGACATGAGATCAGAGCATTTTTCAAATCTCAGAGAATCACATTGTCAAATCTCAGAGAATCACAAAGCCCTCAAGCACAAAGTATTTTTGAACACTAAGAGGTGCAATTTCCTGTCTCGCATTGCTTGTGGCTTAAGTGACCTTTTCCTACAGCACATGCTGCCCTGGTGCCTGAAACGTCTTAGAGTTGACTGGGCGCCAGGGGCCTGGCCGTGGGCACAACAGAAACGGCCTCCGACTATAGAGGAGCAGTGACTTGATCCACATGTGTGTGAGTTTAGCACCTGATCACACGCTCTCAGCTGCTAAACTTCCTCACACACCCTGGTGATCTAAAGCTGCTTGCTGCTGTGATCCTGCTGAGTCGGTAATGGTGAGATCTGTAGGGAACCAGGCTCAGGACTGAGTATCTGCAGCTCACAGCGTGTCCAAGCAGCTGCTGAACTTGCAGCAGAGCATGGCAGGACATGTGAATGCAGACAAACCCCTACTTCAGCAGCAGGGGAGGCTGAACATGTTTGTAACGTAAAGAGGTTATCTGAGCTTATCTGCTCTGTGCTCCCACTCAGAAGCTGACTCGGTAGCCCATAAGGGTAGTAAACGAATCCAGAAACTGCTAAAGCGCTTATATGTTTCCTGTGACCTTTTCTTTTGCTCCATAACTGTTAGTGAAGTGACAGTTGCAGCACTTTTTCCTTTTTCTCTCCTGCTGCCAGCATTGCTGTTGGATCTGAGCACTTTTCATGTCAAATGAGCTGTAGCATGGAAGTCATAAGAGACTTGATAGTTGCTATCACCGCTTTTTGTCCCTGAGGTCCTGTGTGTGGGATTTTTTTGTGGGTGTCTTGCTGAGGTTTGATTTGGTTGGTCCTTTGAGCAAATTTTCCTGAAGAGGGTCAGGAGCTGCCTGACTTCTTAGGAAAAGTTGTTTTAGAAGTACTTTTCTGTTGCCTCTTATTTTCCAAGTGCCTTAGGGAACCTACTTGCTTTTCTGTTTGTTTTGAGGTGGAAGGTGTTTATCCTCTGAGTTCTGAGCAAGTTTCCATCCCAGAAACAGTGCTTACGTACCTTTTTTGGGGAGGATTACTCTAAACATGTAGTAATGTTAAATAGGGATTGTGTCAAAGTGGAGGCTAGAAGTGGTTGCTAATTCAAGAATCTGTGTTTGGGATTATAATTTATTTACAGATGGATTTGAGGGTTAGGGATGGAAGAGAGACTTGTAGATGTCAAGAGGAATCACTTTTGGTGGAAGGTTGGAAGATGTATCACAGACTATCCCAGAGGAAATAGAGCAGGAGTAAGTTAAACATGAAATTTAGCTTGTGTGCACAGAGGCACAAGAGGCAAAGAAAAGGAGCAGATGATGTTTTCTTCCTCCTGCAGCAGTATATGTTTTGGTGTGCACAAGAGGCAAAGAAAAGGAGCGGATGAGGTGACAGATTGATGTTTTTTTTCCTCCTGCAGCAGTATATGTTTTGGCCTCCTTTTCAAGAACTAAACCTAAGCCCGAGGCTTGTAGACATCCATGCATCAGAAAGGACTACTTATATTTAAAAGGAAAATAAGGGTATCTTTTTTAAAAAAATATATTTGATGACTGACATTTTCACACTCTACAAAGCAGAATGGGTGAAAAGACAAAAATGTATGGGTTTTTCTTTGGATCTGCAAGTAATTGCACAGTTCCTATGAAGATTTGGAGGTTTAGTTCACAAGATGTCACCCGTGTTGTTAATTCCATCTGTACTCTGTGGGATAGCTCTAGTGACATACCATTAACATTTGGGGTTAAAAATAAGGCTCTTTTATTGAGCTACACGAAGGAGCAACAAGACTTCTACTGTATTTGAGGTAATCACATAATCATATTAATTTACATGCCACTCATGTTGGCCTTATGTAAACCAGCATAAAAGAGCAAAACAGGTACCAACAGACTGGGGGAAATTATACCTTTATACACTTCACGTATATGTGCAAAGTGAATGCTTGAATCTCCCAGGTAGATGTAATGTGAAGGTGGCTTTTTCTAGGTTTATATTAATGTGAATAAAATCCAGGAGCTAGATCACTATAAAAGTACTGGGAGATCAACACCAGTCCAGAGATGTCTCTTCTGAGGGCTGTGGGGTAACTTTGTGTAGACTGAGGTGATAATATTGCTCATTTTTCCTTTCATTTTGTATGAGAGCTGGTGAAAATATTGGAGTTGGACAACTACTAATACCTAGTTAGCTTCCTGCAATGACTCTTGAGTTTTCTGTGTGTCTTGCTGGGCTACTTTTATTTTTTCTCTTTTATTTTTCCTGCTGAGCTAACCAGTCATTCAGGCAAGTGTTTGCACTATAGATAGGAAATGCTGTTCTTTCTTCAGAAGCTTTCATCACTTTGCTTAGGAATTTCCCGTTGTTCTCAGCTTTGCTTTCAAAACTCTTCCTCTACTTTCTTCCCACTCCTCACCAAAAAAGTCCCAGCCAACACTCTATATGCACAAGTTGCAGGTCTTGCCTGTGTTTAATGCACCCTGGTGCAGAGAGCAGCATGCCCTCATAGCCCAATGTTAGAGCACTCAGGATTTCACACAAACAAGAAATATTTAAGCCCTTGCACCAAGGAGCATTATTTAATTATTATTTATTATTTGTTTATTAATATTTATTATTATTTATGTAGTATGGAACAATATCTACCTATATTTAGATAAAATAGAACCAACCTAGGAGGAGAGAGTGAGACAGAGCTACCTCGCTGTATCCTGTGGTTGTTTCCTTTTGAAAGTGGGACATTTTAATTCAAATCTAAGTCTGCTGGCTGCCACAAACACTAAGCTACTACCTGTTTATACACATTCCTCTTTTGTTTTTCTATTGTAAGCTTTCATAAGGCAATTCCTGATCTGTATTCTAGATTAGGCACCTAAAACATTGCATCGAATTAAAATAAATTAGGTGGGAGTAGAAGATGAAAGACTTATTTTAGCTTGTTTGGTGGCAGCTGTTGGGTTTTACTGGAGGCACATTAGGTTGTTTAACAGTTTCCCAGCCTGAAGCTTCAATGCCTGAGAGAGCAAGTCCTTGCTGAAGATGCTGGCTCAGAGCACTGGTAGAACACGTAGAGGCAGTGCCAAGTGGCCAGGTTACCGGGATGTTTTGGGGTTATCCGTAAAGAAGCCAGGATAATCCACCTGCAAGCAGGATGCGGAGGTCCTGTGGCCTCCCCCGCTGGCAGCTGGGGTCTGCCTGCCCAGTGTCCCCCCGTGGGGCACAGCAGGGAAAGTGCCCTTCAGCTCTGCGTGGTGGCCGTGGTGCCTCGCTGAGGGGATGCCCACAGCTGAGCACAGCTCTGTGCTCGTGGAGGAGCCGCTGCGAACGCTCCGGCCTCCGGGACTACCTGAGCATGTGAAACCGTTTAATAACACATGCAGTCAGCATAGGTACAGTTAGAAACTTTGGTTTTGAACCGCTTGTCTTTGAAAGTTAATAAAACCTGGTTAAAAAAAAAAAAGCACATTATCTGTTGGTCCACAGGCATCAGAAGAAGTGTCAAAATCCCTGCAAGCCATGAAGGAAATTCTGTGTGGTACCACAGACAAGGAGCCCCCCACAGAAATCGTGGCTCAGCTGGCGCAGGAGCTCTACAACAGTGGCCTTCTGGTGACGCTCATTGCCAACCTGCAGCTGATAGATTTTGAGGTAGGTCAATGTGCATAAACCTTTCATCTCCTCGGTCCCAATGTTGCCAGTCAGTGTGGCTGAATTTTTCTGAAGCCTAAAAGAGACAGTTTCAATGCCTGCCAAAACCTATGGGCTCACTGTTCTTCAGATGCCGAAGAAAGTGGCTGTTGTAGATTGATCCAGTAGACTGGCAGATGTGCTTCTGTACTGCATCCCATGAACTTTCTTGATTAATTAAAAAAAAATAAGAAAAAAACATTGCCATGTGAACCAAACCAGGGTGCTGCAAATATTGTTTGTGACTTTGTGCACTGCAGTGATTAACCTCTTACCATGGGATAGTGCAGCTAGTGGCAGCCACCATCTCTGCAAGATTGTGGTTGGTTTAGACGGGGCTCAGAGGCACGGAATGAAAGTGATCAGAAGCTGGGAAAAATCTCATATGGGAGGGGGAAAAAAAGACTGAAATATTGGAATGATTTAGTTGAGGAGGAAGGAATTGAAAAAGGTCTTCAAAAACTCTGGTTTCTCTTCTGTGAAACTGATGGGAAATGTCAAGGTAAATTGAATTAGCCCCATTTAATTCTTTGCATAAAAGATGAAAGGAATATAACTTTTTTGCCAATCCTGAAAACATAATATGAATAAAATATAATATGAATAAAAATGTACTTAATTGCCTATAGAAATTACTGACAATTTTGTTGTTAAAGCCAAGAACGTAGCAGGATCAAAAGAACTGAAGTTGCAAATGAACATGGAGAAGTTACGGTAGAAAAGATGCCTGACATTTAAGACGAATATAAACCCTTCCAGCTGCCCTTTAACTGGCAGGGACTGGAAAGAAGCTTGGCCATGTTCTGGGAGGCCGCGGCTGTTCCTGCAGCCTGAGGTCAGCCGCGCTGCTGCCTCGGGGACTGCTCGTGGGGAGCCAGGGAAATTCCCAAACTCCGGCCTCTGGGAAGCGGCCAGAGCACCCGGGCGCCTCTGGGCATCAGAACTTCCCAGCCACGGGCCGGGAGGGCAGTGCCCACGGGCAGGGCAGGGAGTTGGAAAATCCACTTCCCGGAGCGGTGGGATGGAGCCGTTCCTGGGAGCTGCCTCCTTGGGAAGGCTTCTCCGGGGTGGGAGTCACCGGCTGCTGCTCTGCTTCTCTTTCCACTTTGAAACTGAATCGAAGGAAGGAGGGACGGGCGGGTTTGCTCGGGTTTGGGCTGCACCTTGAGCGAGTCTGGCCTTCAAGGGACTGATACATTTTAAAAATTAATTTCCGGAAGTTGTCACTGGGGTTTTCCCAGGTGACAACCTTTCCATTTTCCTCCTCGGGTCTTGATTTCAAGAGTGTTTTTGCTTTTAATGATGGAATTTCATCCAATCCAGAAAAGAAAAGAAAAATAATGATGGAATTTCTTCAGACCCTTCAATTTGCTATCTGCCTGCTCCCTCTGCAACTGTTAGATGTCTTGGTGCAAAATAAGGATCCAGTAATTTAGATTTTTAAAGAGGGGAGGGAAGGAGAAGGAGGAAGAGGAGAAGCTATTGTTAGCAACTATTCCCTAGCAGAGAAATTTCTCCTTTTTACATTATTATTTTTTTTAGATTAAGACTGCCTGACAGTCTATATTGCTTTTTTCTGAAACATAATATTTTGTACCCATCTATCACACCCACGATCTTCAAATGCAAACTCTGAGTAAAATACCAAGCAAGTTATTAGAACTGTTACGTGAGTAACAGTCATTCAGCAACATAATGTAAATGTGGTTCTAATAGCATAGCTCATGGAAACATAATAACCAATAACATTTTTCACTCTAATAACTTTTATTACAAAACAGTGTTTCTTTCCATGATAAAGCCTTTCAATCATTTAGCAAAACTTCTAACTTTTACTTTATTCCTTTTGGAATTAATAAAATGAAATGTCTTTGGAAAACAGGCTAGTAAGAGCGGATGTTGCTCTGTCTTCATATTTCCATTTTTGGGGGGTTTATTAAGTTTTCTGCTCGTGTTTATTATATTAATTTATTGTTCATAAATGTCATTTAGGTGTCCTTGTTGACTAAGCAATTTCATCACCTTTTAACATACAAGGCTTTTTCTGTGATCAGTATGTGATGGTAGACAGCAAAATTTGAAAACATGGGAAAAGCTGCTTTCTGAAGGAAATGATGTTTATGTAATTACCTGCTTTTTGTCCTGGTTTGGCCCCTTTGTTCCTACCTCCTACCCTTCATCCTCCACCCTGCACCTGGTGACTACTTTGAACCCAGTTTTGCCCAGTAGTGCTTATGTAAAAGACTTTGTGAAACTTGGTGGCTTGGAAAGAGACAATATTAATATTAATACCACCACTGAGGAGAAAAAACAGATGCTGGAGTCCTGTTTCATCTGCCAATACCCTTGGCTGGGGGATGTGAGGGTGGCCAGGGAAGGCTCGTGTGTCCTTCATGCCTCTATCACACATCTACAGGAAACAGAAAGGAAGCTGGGTTTGAGCAGAAGCCCTTGCCTTGATGAGACTGAAGTGGGGCAAATTCAGAACGGGAAATTTATGGGTGAACTTGGAAGAGCTCTTGGAGGAGGGCAGGTCTGCAGAAATAGTTAAGTTTACCAAGATGTGTTACAGCATGCAAACCTACATGTTCCTAAGCTGTGAAGCCAGCGAGAGGTGGTAAATGTTAAAAATATCCTCTCACTTTGTCAGGAAATATGAGCTACGTTATGGTAAAGATGTCTTGCAAGTTGGGTTTTTTTACAGAAATGATGGCATCCTTTGAGCTCCCGTCTAGCTGTTTTCTCCTCTTTCTGCACACAGCCCTTCTATCTTGTGCTTCAGTTATCATACAGATTTCATTATAAGGTGAACTTGAAGTGCAGAGTCCAAGTGGGAAGCGTTGCAAAAATATTCCAACAGTTCTTGTGGGTGTCTGATGTTGAGGGAAGTCTGCCTTGGTTCCCTATCTGCCTCTGTTCCCTAGAGAAGAATCCAGAGAGACCAACAGCTTTGGTTTTCACAGTTATCCTCCTAGAAAATATGTTATTATTGGATATAATGCCTTAGTGCACCTAATATTAAAGGGTAATAAAAATTTTGGCTTACTAGGGAAAATCACTTAAATCTTGGCCATTTTTGTCTCTGTCTTTCAACAGCTCTTCTATTTTTTGGATTTTTTTTTTTTTCATTTTGGAATAACTGCTGCGGCCACTGGGGATCGCAAGATTCCGGACATACATTGTGGATGTTGTAAAGATGGGACGTTTGTATAAAGAAATGGCTTAATTAAGAGAATGTCCAGGGGTCAAAAATGTTGCAGACAGAGGCAGATGGACTGGCCAGTTCTGATGTGATCCTCTTATTTAATTCCCTTAGTCCCCGAACCTCCAGGCCAGCTGGCCTGGAGCGACTAAGAAAGCGGAATATTCTGTGCTTCTCAGCAGTGATTGATTTGTAGAGGTGAAACTGGGGAATTTCCCTCCGTGTGAAACTATCTGCTCCTTGGTTTCTTAGCCAAGGAATGTTTGTGCTCTCCAGGCAGATCAGTGAGCGTGGACGGATTGTAACAACTCGCCCTTGGCTCCAGGCTGCCCTGTGCACAGTGCCCCGCTCCCTCCTCAGCGCCCTGCTCACTGGGCATTAGCAGCCTCTCCCCTCCAGCCTCTTCTCAGCATCAATCTCTCTCCTGTGGCCGGGGGAGGAAGAGGACCTAAAATGCACGAGGTATCAGCAGACTCCGCAGCTGAGCGGAGCGTCATTGGGAAGGTCCTTCCCAAAAGTTGCCTGCGTGGGGATGTTTGCTGCTGCAAAACACCATTTTGCAGTGCATGTTGGTCTGGATACAGGAGAAACTGAGAGCAGAGTTAAGGATCCTTCCCCTCTTAGTCGTGACTAAAGTAGAAACATGAGGTATATGGCATGGCCCTGTGATCAGTTATAGTGATTTTACTCTTTGTGGTAAAAAGAATGTGCACGATCATGGAATCTGTCTGTGTATCGGGCTAGGGTCAGTTTCAAGTTTAACCCCCCTTTTTTTTTGAAAGTAAGATCAGATTTGCTTTGATCACGTAAGAATGAGGAAAAACTTTGGCTTTGTAAAGCTAGACTGTGCTTCACTGTACTTGGTACTGGCTTCACTACTTAATCTTGAAAGCAAGTGCACCTTGCGAACACACGTTTGGCACAGAGCAGCTGTGCGTGTGTGTTAGTGCTTTCTTGTTGCTTACTCGGATCTCGAGGGAGTTGCTCAATAGAATAAGGAGGGTGCATGTCTTGGTAAAGGAAATACCCAAATTTGTGTGTGGGGGGCGAGTGGTCTTCAGAGCGGCCTCATGGAAAAAAGCCTGTTTTGTCATTTGAAGAGACAGCACATGTCAGGTGGGAGGAGTGTGGAGGGCCCGGAAAAGAGACACACACTTGGTGCAATTTAAATTTAATTTCCCCTTTCAATAGAGATTATTCTAAATGATCGTTTGTTCATGCTTTTACAGTTGAAAATATATTTTGCTTCTTTAACAGGGCAAAAAGGACGTGTCCCAGATATTTAACAACATCTTGAGAAGACAAATTGGCACACGCAGCCCTACTGTGGAGTACATTAGTGCCCATCCACATATCCTGTTCATGCTTCTAAAAGGGTGGGTGCTTTTGTTTGGCTTTCATTCCTATTAAAGAACATTGCCTGCAACACGTTGGCATTGCACGCGGTCTACATTTTCACCTAGAGTTTAACAAAAATAGATGGGATTTCAGCCTTTATTCTAGATTTCGTATTTCATTTCTCTTCCACTGGCTTGCTTTTTGCCTAAAAGTATGTGCCTAAATGACTGAATTATTTCATTTGGCTGTTATTTCTTTACTATACTTCGTGTTGGGATAATTCTGTGCTGTTTGTTTTTGCCTGCTCACCGTGTGACACGGGGCCTTCGGGGCTGGCCCTGAGCTCTTCTGTAGCCCTGGGGGTACTGCTGGGTTTCACTGAGGCCTCTCTGCGTCGCGCCGTGAGCTGCAGCGGCCGCTGTGAGTGACTGCAGCCAAGGGCTTGGGTCGAACACAGAGAAGGAAGAATGCACAGAAAGAAGAGCTGGGTCTATGGGACGGGCTTCCGAAACGCTTGCAGCCACGTGTGAATTTAAGCTTTAAATTATGCCAGCAAAGAACTCTCTTTCTTTCAGAATTAAGTTGTTTTTCTTTCTTTCTTTTGTCTCACTTTAACCTCTGAGGGAGTAAGTGTTTAGCAGGAAGCCAGTGGTTCCCAAGGTAAGTTGGCCAAAGAGGAGGCTGCGCTGCAGCGGTGTGAGGACATCAGCTGTTGGAGCATTCAGGAATGCACAAGTATTGGCCTTAAATTCTTGAGGTTTCTGTCCATTCTGCTTGGCCACAAAGTGTCTTCCCTGTAGCAAGAATGTTTGCTTCTCCAGCTCTTGAAATCTGCTGTTTTCTGATCAGCCTTTCAGTTTTCTATGGTGGTCTTTTTCTGGCTTTGTGGTTTTATATATTTTTCTTCCAGGAAGGGGGAATGCAGATGTGATTGCTTAGACTTAAATAAAGGATGTAAAAATGACTGTGTTTACCAGCTGTACAGTCTGAAACAACATGGACTGTTGTGTTCCACGTATGGTTAGAGTAGTAACAGCCATTCAAAATCATATAGGCATCTTTAGGTAATGGTACTTAAGGGAAGGAGTTTTTTTTTTTCTTTAATGTCTTTCTTGCTCTTGATGCTTAAGAGTTGCCCTTTTACCACTTTCTCCACAACCTGACTTGGGAAGGTGCTTAAACACCCTCTAAGGTACTTGCAAGATAGGAATACAAAGCCAAGGGTGAAGGTTTTCTCAAGCAGCTTCCACATCTCCTGAATGGAGACCTACGAGAGACACCCTGGCCCCCTTGTAGAGTCAGTGCAGAGAAACAGGCACTTCTAGAGCACGTTGCTTTTCCTCCTAAGATAGTTATTTGCTTCAAAACGGGCAGCATTCCAGCACAGCTGAGTAGGAAAAAACAATTGAGAGAACTGATTTATATCAGTGTTTTAAAGAATTATGAGCCTGTCGTTGGACACGGAGGCAAGACTTGGCTGTGACAGGATTGGATCTGCTTTCCACACAGGCCGAGGGGTGAGGAACCCGGGCAGGTCCTTGTCCTGCTCCTCAAAGTATTGTGATTAGTTGTGATTCATCTTTAATTTTGAAGGTGACTCTCTCTGTGTTGCTGAACACCAGCTTCCTCAGAAAGCAAGCCAGTAAGCTCGTTACATTTTTTTTAATTTGTTCATTAAAGATCAACATTTCAATATACCTCAAAATACTTGTTTCAGGGCAGTGATGATAATTCTGTCAGTCACAGTTGAAGCTGTACAACTGTTCTCAATTCCCTATACAGATACAATCATTTTCTTCTCCTTTCTGGCTTTGCTTTTTGGATTCCCCCACACACATGCACACTTTTTCTCTCAGTTTTGTTTGAAACACTGTGTGTGCCTCTCTCCCATATGTCTCAGCCTTATTTAAAGTATTTTGGATCATGTCCCAGATATTCTTTGGCATCTGTAAAGACAAATAATATTAAGATGATAGTAAAGATTTTATCTTCTGCATATGTGCTGCTGATAGACACGGCGTCCCGTGGAGTGTGACCCGAGCCACAAAGCGCTGGGTATATCCAAGGGGCAGCAGTTGCTGGTTTTGTGGAGCCAGCTGATGTATCCTGCCTTGCACCTTCATGGCTCTGCGCTTGGTTGGCCCTTTGGCTTCTTGTTCTTGACTTTTTGGCTCTCTCCCTGCTCCGTATGGATGAAAACGCAGCTTGAGGAGGGCGTTGCGGGCTTGTTTGACGCTGAATGAAATACATGAAGGCAAAATGTGCATGAAGGAAAGGAAAAATGAATTTGGCTCACTTGTAGAAAAGAGCAGAGTCGCCATTCAGTGAATTTTTTGTATGATGGTGTTGGGAGAGGGGAAGAAGAAGGGAAAAAAAGCCACTGTGGCCCTGCGCACAGAGCCTGGGACTATTGTGAAGGGCTGTCATTGTCCGGCTTGTGTTGGATGCAGAATTTCCTCTGCCTCCTGACAGGCAGTTCCCAACAGGATCAACAAAAGGTTGCTTTTCCCCTGCATAATGTGAGCTCTGTTGAGGGGGAAGGATCCTGAATCTCATCTCCCTCCCAGTATTTCCTGCCTCGTACTCTGGTGGCACTGCCAGTTTGCCATAATTGTTTTCACTTTTTAGGTTTCGTTTTATTTCTCGGCTACTCCCTCGCAGACTTGGAGCTTCAGAAAAACATGTAGCACGTGGTTTATTGCTTCATTTTTTTTCCTTAGACTAATTGACTTTCCTGCTGTGTGGGCACTTGCGTTCCTAGTTTTGCATGTTCTGTGTGTGTGCAGGCTTTGTGTACGTGTAGGATTTCAGATAAGTACAATGCTTGCCATATACAGTTCCTGATCTATTTTTTTTTCCCTCTGGTATCAATCTATTGCATTCTGAGACATAAGTCCAGAAATAATACAGGCCCTCTGTAATTTAAAATGTTTTTCCTTTTCTAGTACAGTGATTATAGCAGATTCAGGATGTCTGTGGCACTCGGAGCAGTGTTTCTCATGAGTTACAAATGCGTAGGGTCTTATGTGAATCTGTAAGATCCTACGTGCAGCTAGTTTAAATGGGATAAAAACACAGCTGTGTGTCACGAGCTCCCGCGTGCCGGGCTCGGTGCCTTCCTGCCTCCTCCCCTTGTGCAGCCTTCGGCACCAGCCGCACGCGGTGAGTTCCCCTTGCACCAAGCCGTGTTTCTGCCTTCAGGCTGCCTTGCCTCTTTCAGACTCCAGAAAAACGAATGTTTTAAAATATTCCAAATCCATTTCTGCCTTCTTGGTTGCCCAGTAGTCAATGTCTGGGGATTTCCTTAGGCTGGAAGCCCATCAGAAGGGAGAAAAAAAACATTTATTTCGTTCCTGCTGCAAGAGTACCTCGGTGCAGAGTAGCACTGGCTCTTTCGAAGGGACTTTGGAGCCCGTCTCTGCTGTTCCTGCTTGCCAGGTGGCTTCCTTGGCGCAGAGGTGCGGGTGCAGAGCAGCCCGTGTCCCCTTTTGGGCGCGTTGCAGGAGCCAGCCCCGCTGTCCTCGCCGTGCGAGCCGCAAGCCCGTAACCAGCTCCAGGTAACGGGGCGCTTGGCTAGCAGGGCTTCTGTTGATACTTGTGTTTTTTTAAATTATTGTGCTGGGAACAATGCAGTTTGCTTGTATTCCAACCAAAATATTCCTTGGCTGACTATTAACTATTTTCCTGGCTGCACTCCTAGGAGCAAATCTGCCTCTTTGCTTGGCAATTACTATTCCAATTAATGGAGGCGAGGGGGTTACATCTTAACAGAAAGCATCAACGAGTGTCTATTATGTGAGGAGTCTGAAGTTCAGGTTCGCACGTGTTCCCCCAGATGGCACGAGCAGGACTGCGGGCACGTGCGTAAGGGTGGGAAGCCCCGTTTGCCCTTCTGCAGTCAGCAGTTCATTTTGCATTAAACCAGCTCTTGTTGGCACCAGGTTGAAGTATGCGGCTCTGCTCCGCTCCCCAAACGCTACCATTCTTTTAAAGTGCAAGTTGGTGGGGCGTTGAGGGCCCACTCACTCCGAGCACAGATGGCATTTTGTCTTGCTGCTTGGCCTAGGGATAGAAATGAATTGTCTCATGGAAAAATGAGGCCGATAAGCTCAGGGTGGTAATACACAGTTCTGAGATAGTGTAACCAGCTCACTGCAACAGAGGTGCTTTCTGTCCCCTCGGACTTGGTTGCTTTCACATGACTGAATATGGCTTAAATATGTTCATTTTAAGTCCCTCCTGATTGTTAGATTTCTCTCTTGCTCGGGGGCTTTAAAAAAATTGTTTCTAGCAGCTCTGTTTTAGAGTAGCTTTGGCCTTAGGGAAATGAAGCCTTTGTAGAAGTAGAAGATTGTCTGAACTCCTTCGCCCTCCTTTCCGTATCCCGGGCAGTGCTGGCTCCTGTGCACTGCAGAGCCTGTGCCCTAGCAGGCCTGCAACTTGAGGAGCTAATACCTGGCTCCTAAACAAGCTCTTGGTCTCTGCGGAGGAGGGACTGGGCAGATCTCAACTGTAGGAAAGATCTTAGAGCGACAGAAAGCTCAACCTGGTTAGTGGGTAGAAGGCCTGGATCAGCTCCCCTTACCTTCCTTGTGTGGCATGAATGCTCTGGAGTGACTCTGTCTAGAAGAGAAGTGGGAGCTGAGGGATGGTCATGAGAGGATGAGCTGAGGAGCGCAGAATTAACTTTGAAACGGAGCGATGTTAGATTGTATGGGCTTATCGTTCTCATAAATCCAAAAGGGTGGAGTGGTTCAGCTGAAACCTGGTGCATTTGGGCCAGCTAGAAAGCGCTGGTGGCCTCATCTGTGCCTGGTCTTCGTGAGGAGCTGGCACTGGCGTGAGCGCCGCCGCACGCGGCGTTCGCTGCGGCCCGGCCTTCCCCTGCTCCCAGCTCCCCTGTCACCGGGGCTCTGCTCACTGACGTTTGTCCCCCTGTGTGTTGGGTCTGTTCCTCCTCGTTGTGCAGGTACGAGAGCCCGCTCATCGCCCTGCGCTGCGGCATCATGCTCAGAGAGTGTGTCCGGCACGAGCCGCTGGCCAAGGTCATCCTCTTCTCAGAACAGTTCAGAGACTTCTTCAAATATGTGGAAATGTCAACTTTCGATATCGCTTCTGATGCCTTTGCTACGTTCAAGGTAAATTACTTGGTGCCTGTGTCGTGGCGTGTGGTTAAAAATGCCATTTCTGCAGCAGTGATCACTACATGTTGTGTTGCCTTTGAACTGCACAGCTCGCTTACAGCAAGTAACTGATCCTTGGTCTGGCTGTACCAGGGTTCACAACAGGGATCATCGCTGCAGAGTATCTTTAATCCAGATTTAGGTTTCACTAGTGTCCTACATCTCGTTATCCCCAGGCTTTTTATTGCAGCTATTTAAAACTGTATTTAGTTGTGCGTCCTGCGCAGTTCTATAATGCATCATCTCTCTTCTCGCCCGACCTTCTCCCCAAAATAAAACCACTCCCTGTTTTGACAACAACCAGTAAATAGAATGAAGCGTTTAAATTTAACCTTTGAAATCCTCTGATTTTTGGCTGACTCATCTGCTAGTGCAATCTTGAGCAGAAGTTGCTGCCCATAGGCTTAATACAGAGGAACAAGTGGATTATTTCTGCAAAAATAATTGGAGAAAATTGTGGAAAATTCTTCACAGGGAGAGAACCTTCTAAATATAGATGTAACTTTTTTTTCCTTCTATCAGTTGGTTCTTTGCTGTCATAGAAACAGGTTGTTCGCTCTTTCTCCTCAAAGCTAATTAGAAGCATGATTAGATAGGCCGCCGGAATAGCTGAGATGGGAGAGAGTTCAAGCAAGAGCTTCAGCCCAGGTAAAAAGACACATGTGGGACTACAGAGGAATGCATTGAAAATGTGTCTCCGGGGAGGACCAGGGACTTGTGCAGCCCTCCTCGGAAAACTGGTGTCTCCAGGTAAAAAGACACATGTGGAACTACAGAGGAATGCATTGAAAATCTGTGTCTCTGGGGAGGACCAGGGACTCGTGCAGCCCTCCTCGGAAAACTGGTGTCGTTCATGGACCTTCAGCTGTGGAACTCGCTCTGCCCCCTGCGCTCCACGAGTATTTTTAGTGGGGTTTAAATGTGGGGTCTGCACCCGCACGCATATGGGCAAGAGGGGAGTCGTGAGGGCCCTTCATCCTCAGGCACAGGTCAGGAGGTGCCTCCTAAATGTCTGGGGCAAATCGATGACCTGTGCTTTTAAAGACTGCCTCTTAGCACCTGCTAAGTTCTGGAAACGAAATGGTTAATCTCAGCTCAGCTCCTTGGCCCTTGCTCCAAACGACTGGAGCAGCAAGAAGCGATGTGGAAGCAATCGAATCATGAAACACGGAGCTAGCCTGATTTCTCATTCCATAAAAACGAGGGCCGTGACTGCTGGCTGCCTGCATTCCCGAATTCACGTTGCTGGGCCCGTTCCCCCGTGTTGGGTTTGCAGCGTCGGCGCCTGGTTCCGAGCAGAGATCCTCGCACGGTCTGTGCCCCGGAGGAGGGTCTAATCAAACGTGCGTTGAAGTCTGAGCCTATTTATAGCAGGGAAGCGCTCGCATTTTTGGTGCTTTCTTTAATTAAACCCAGCCAGGTGCACGGCTGAGAGGAGAGCTGGAAATGCAGCGGGAAAAGGGCCGGGCTGGGAGGCTCTCCTGGGTCTTGCAGGGAGAGCCATGTTTGGGATCGTTTTCCATTTGTGCCCCCTGCTGCACGACGCTGTTCGTTGCCTCCTGAGCGCTCTGCGGAAAAGCTTGTGGAGTTTGGGGGCACTCAGCCCTTTACACTGAGAGCACCGCAGCCCTGCCAGATAAAAACATATATATATATTTAAAAAATACAAAGCATGATGCACTGGATTTTATAGCACTCTGTTTTCCTCTTGTAATTGAAAATTAAAATCGGGGGGTTAGAATGTGAGGGATTTGTTTTAGCTGCGATGCTGGGGAGGATGTGTCTGTGCATCTGCTCAACAGCTCATCGGCGTCCATTTCTCATGGTGGCTACGAAACCAAAGGCGAGATGATGAAATAGTGACAGAAACTGATTCACTGGCAAACATATCTCCTCAAGTGGCCTCTGTCAGTCATTTATTGTGACCAGCGCGCATAGTAAAAAAAGCAGTCAGATGAAAATTAAAGTGCCTCAAACTGGCTGCTTCAGTTTATAGCCTGCTCGTCTAGTAAAGAGCCGTGGCTGCCTCTGGAGCGGAGGGTTCGCGTCTCCATCGCTGAGCACCAGCCCTACCCCTGCCCGGGCAATTTCTGCATCAATTGGAGATCAGCAATAGCACTTGGTTAAATTTACCAGATTTACCATAATCTTGCAGTTGTGGAGTAGAGTGTAGATCTCTTCTGGTCCTCAGACCACACGTGATCCCTCCATTAAGGGTTGTTTTAGCCATAAGAAAGGGTACGAGGAGAGAGGAGTATGAAGAAGGAGCCTTAGAATAATTTATATTGATTTCCCCTAGCATCCATATAATTGTTCTTCAAGTCCTAGGAAGCATACAGCAGCTGAATGTGATGCAGTGTTGGTTTTTTAAACTCTTTTTCTCTCATGAAATCTTGAAAATACCTTGTAAAAGATAACCCGGTAGAAAATACTAACCCACACTTGAAAATAAAAGGGAGAACTAAGCGCAAAGGTAGTGTTTCCCTTCCAACCTTAACCATTCTGTGCTTCTGTGATTTCTCTGCTCTTTTTCAGGACTTGCTAACAAGACACAAATTACTGGTAGCAGATTTCCTGGAACAAAATTATGATACAGTAAGTATAAACGATAAATTATTTTTTAAAAGCTCTGTTCAGAAAGAGCCTGCTTTTAGCAGTGCAGGATTTCATGTTCCACAGGAAATTGTCACCCAGGACTGCAATCCTCCATGAAAGATATTGCTTTTACTGAAGGAGGATTCTCATTAGGCCTTTGAAAATCGAGGTGCCTCTGCTGTGCACACGTATGTCAAATTTTCAGGAGAACTCATTGTTTTAAAGCAATTCTTATTTGTCTCTATATGCAACAGTTTTCTCCATATGTGAATGAAAGCTGTAAATTTAGCACCTCCATAGGTAGTGGGGCAGGGGAAAACAGTCTTTACCTCCTTTAAAGAATTTTGTGCTTCATTTTCGCTTTGTAAAACTTTGGGGCACAGGAGAGATGTTACAAGAAGCGGCACTAGCTTCTACTACCTGACCAGGACTTCGGGTACCCGATCAAGAGACTGAGATGTGAACATCCATTTTTCCTTCCTAAGGCAATTAGTCAGTTGGTCTGTTGCATTTTTCACTTTGATTTTTTTTTTTTCCAGATCTATTTTAAGGAAAACAGGGGGTCAGAAAAATTCCATTGGAATCAACTAAGATTGTACTGATATGGTTAACGGAATTAGACTTCAGGTCATGTTCTCATTTTAGCTGAGGTATTTTTTACTTCATTGCCAAAGGAAAAAGAAAAAAAGGCCAAGGATTATCTTTTCTATTAGGATTCATTAGAGTTAGCAAGAAGCTAAAATCAAAATCAGGCTTTTTATTGCTGAGTCATAAATGCAATTAAACTGGAGCAAAAATTACCATCTCTGCTCACCTTCTCTATTAGCACTGAAGAAACTGCGGTGGAACAGTCCCTGCTCTGCATTTATGTAACACTTAAAGAAGTGTAAATTGTGGAAATGAGCAGTTTTTAAGCGACTCTTGGATGTCAGTGGCGTTTTTCTGCGCATTTGGTAGATGGTCTGAGCACGAATGGGTGGACAGTGCGTGCTGGACCACATGAATCTTCGGGCAATGGAATCATCCTCCTGTAAAAGAAGCTGCGTAGGTGGAAGCCCAAGGTGTCATGGTTTAAAGAATGGTTTAAAGTGTGGTTTAAAGCTCTTTGTATGGAGCCACCTCCACGAGCAAGGAGGGATGGCTGAGGGGGAAGGGGGCGCTGGGGAGAGGGGCCAGGGAAGGATGGATCTGAACAGGTTGCGCTGTGTTCTCTTTGCTGCTCTAGATCTTCGAGGATTACGAAAAGCTCCTGCATTCTGAGAATTATGTGACAAAGAGACAATCTTTGAAGGTAAAGTGAAGTTCGTCAGCACTTCCCTCCACAAAGTTGGAGTCTGTATTATGCAGAGCATCAAAAGATACTGTGACAGAGCAGCCACAGGCCTCGTAGCAAGAAAATGAAGTGAGAGCTTGTTGCTCTTGTCCCAGTGAATTAGCTGCAGGTTTTATTTCACAGAATCACAGAATGGCTGAGGTTGGCAGGGACCTCTAGAGCTCATCTAGTCCAACCCCCCTGCTCCAGCAGGGACACCTGGAGCACGTGGCACAGGGTGGCATCCAGGTGGGTTTGGAAGATCTCTTGAGAAGGAGACTCCACAACCTCTCTGGGCAGCCTGTTCCAGGGCTCTGTCACCCTCACAGGAAAGAAGTTCTTCCTCACATGGAGGTGGAACTTCCTGTGTTTCAACTTACACCCGTTACCCCTTGTCCTGTCATGAATCTTCAGTAAAGCACCAGGCCATTTCTGTGGAACAAACACCATCCCTTGTTCTTTCTGACCTTAATTTTGTACTTTGGTTTGTAGCATAGGTTAGAAAGAACTTGAGAGCAATGTGATAGTCCCTAGTTGGGCACTGTTGCTGAGTCTAATGTGACAGGAACAAATAGGTCCATCAAAATCTGAATGAAATGAAGGGACGTCTGTGGAACAGCTGCTCTGCTGCTGCTTCTGCCCTCGCTGGCTCATGGTGGTGCACGTGGTCCTTGAGGTACCCATCTCTGTGTTTGGAAAACGAGCATTGCTAGGCATTAACTCATAGCATGATAACAAATCCAGGTGTGTGTGTGTGTCTATACACATGTATATAAGTATATTTTTTAAGTAGTGATATTGAAATCTCTTCGGGCTAACATAAAAATATGCTGATGCCATTTTTTAATATTCTGAAAAAAAAAGTGGTGGGCTGGAAAAAAACTTGTGTTTTTTGCATTTTTTGCACTTGCCTCTATAGCTGTTGGGTGAATTGATCCTGGACCGGCACAACTTTGCCATCATGACAAAATACATCAGCAAGCCAGAGAATCTGAAGCTGATGATGAACCTGCTGCGAGACAAGAGCCCCAACATTCAGTTTGAAGCATTTCATGTGTTCAAGGTAAGTGGGATGAGCTGCAGAGACAGCAGGCTTTGTCCTCCGCCTACAAAAGGGTCTTCCAAGCTAAGGGGTTTTCAGTTCCTCGCAGATAATTGAGTGTATCTTGCTAGGAGACATTTCCATCCATGGTTTGTCTGCACCTTCCTTCATTTTGCCCAGTGGTGCTGCAGAAAGATGAAGTGAACAGTGGTAGCACTGTGCAGCAGCAGGGGCACAGTTTGCTTTTAAGCCTATTAAAAAGATTGGGTAAATATGTAAGGAGTTGAATCCTTCCATCGTGTTGCAATGTTTGTTAATGCGGCTGAAAGCAGTTGCCAGGTGCAGCCATATCCCTTTTTTGGGATTTTTTTTTCCCTTCCATATAATGCTAATGGAGGGAAAAATTACCTTTTTTTTCTCCCCCTATCAAAAATGTTCTGTCCTCTGGGTCAGAGCAGGAGCAGAATTGTTCTTAGGCAAAGCTTCCTTTCCTTTACCTGATTTCTGGAATTAGCACATTCATTTCAATCCATGTAGGTAGAGCTGTTAATGATTTTCAGCGGGAGGCATTGACTCCATCGTGAAGATGGTTAAAAAATCTACCTGCTCTCACCAAAAGCTCCTGCTGCTCCAAAAAGCTGCCTCACCCTCCTCCGATTCCAGGTCTTTCTTGGGGTTTTGTAGCTCTTGCCATTTCTGATGTGGAAAAAAAGCCTTTTGGGTCTGCACTGGGGAGGCCTAGGAGAGGCGCAGCTGCTGCAGGAAGCTTTTCCTCTCCAAAACGCTCAGGGAGAGTTAAAATAAACCCTCCCCTTCCCGGGCAGCCCTCGGCTCTGCCATGGGCGCCGTTGTCCTGAGCCTGATCCCGCCAGCTGCGCTGATTCCATGTGAAAGTAACTGGGAGAGAATTTGCTCCTCAGCTTTGGATCTCGGCGGGTTTAAACTGTACTTGCATTTTAAAACTGTGCCCACTAAATACCTGGATAGTCCTGGGTGAAATTACAGCCCCCTAATTGCAGGGACTTGAAATCAAAGTTGTTCTGCTGGGGCGCTGATACTCGCTGCTCTGTCTGAGCTGCCAGGGGATTTGGGTTTAAATTACCTGACTTGGATGTTTCACCAGTTAGAGAAACTTGAAATAGAAGAGTGGTTGTTCTGGACGTATCCAAATTCCAGCTTCTCCGTGTCCCCAAACGGCTCCTGACTCGTAGGTCCCTGAGGCAGCTCCTCATCGTTGGGCATGCAGAGCTGCAAGAGGTACAGTGCCACAGTGAGCCCCCTCGGGCTCCGAAATTCCTCCCAGGAAGGTGGAGTGGTTAAAAGGGCAGCAGCTCTTCAAGCTCTGAGACCTCTTACCCACCAGGGAACTGCAGACACAGGGAGGTCCCTCTTGTGGTGCCTCCTTCCAGCTTCCTGGAGGGGCCTGACCTTCCTCCCACCTCCAGCTCTTCCTTTTGCTGGAGCAAAACGGAGCTTCTGCCTCACAGCAGAAGAGTCCCAAGGGCTCGTGGGACAGTTTTTGAAGTTGTCCAAACAATTTCATTCAATTCATGTGGAGCTGATTTTTATTCCAGTCCTTTTGAAAATACAAAGTCAGAGGGTACAGAAACAGCTATTTTTAGAGTAGGGATTTTAATACAAGCTCTTTCCTTAGCTTGGGTCTCTCACATGTCTGAATTAAGTGCTCCAGAACACACAGTCCTGCATGACAAACCAGAGCAGAAACTGTGTGGTGTTTTTTTTTTTCCCTGTGACATTAAACTTTGTTTTAGTGCAAATGTCCCAGCTCATTCTGAGAAGAATTTCTGTCTCTTTCTTTACAGCAACACAGAGCTCTGAATTAGTGGGAGCCTCTTAAAAAGCAGAACATCTGGTAGCCCAGCTCGTGGGCTTGGTGGCGCTGCGCAGTTTGGTGCTCTCAGACTGCGTTTGGTTTTCTTACTAAACCCTGAATGCTGTTTGGGGAATTTTCCAGTCCCGTAACCCTCTGGCTTTGCAAGTCCCCGGTGACCCTGAGCAAGGCTGGCAGCCGAGATTAGCTTTGTTTGACAGGTTTGCGAGGGGAAGATTTTCAGCTGTAAGTAATCGAGCAGGGAGATAAAGAGGCTGCGATGGCTTCTGTGGAGCTAAGAGCTTCCTAGGGCCGCACCAGTTGCGTGACCAGGGTGAAGTGCTGCCGGGCCTGTCCCTCGAACCGCTTGGTCCTGCTTGCAGACCCGTGGCTTTTGCAGGAAAAGCCATTTCAATCCGTTGGCAAAGTCAGGCTTGAGAGCCTCTAAAGAGGTCTGTGATTTGCTGGGGGAGGATGTTCAGCACGAGCCTTCCCTGGGACAGCCCGTTGAAAGCACACGTTAACTGGGCGATTTCTGAAAACGTGGCTGCACCCTCGTGGTTCCCTGAACGTGCCCCAGGAAGGGGAGGATTTGGCAGGGGGAAGCAGAGCCCCTTGCAGCTTTTCCACCCCCTCAAATGAAGCTGGCGAGTCTGAATTCTGGAGCTGGGGTAGTATGGAAACGGTATCAACACTGCCACAGACCTTCCCCCTTCTCCTGATGAGGGGTTTCCATGAGGTGTGCGTGTAGCCTAGAGTTGATAGCAGCTGCCAGCAGCTGCGTTCACAATCAAATCCTTATTGAAATAGTAGAACCAAGGGATGCAATGGCACCGACGGACACACGTTGGCTTTGGGCTGCTGCAGCTCTTAGCCCTGCCTGCCTTGGGCCGAGGTCCTGTTGCAGCAGCCTCCTACAATGTTCTTACTCCTGCAATTGATCTTTTCTTTTTTTCCATTTCTTAAAAAATATACATTAGGTTTTTGTGGCCAGCCCGAACAAAACGCAGCCTATCGTGGAGATACTGCTGAAGAACCAGCCCAAGCTCATTGAGTTCCTGAGCAACTTCCAGAAGGAGAGGACGGATGATGAGCAGTTCACTGATGAGAAGAACTACTTGATAAAGCAAATCCGAGACTTGAAAAAGCCGACGGCGTGAGGCTGCCCCGTCCCCTTCCCGCCTTGGCATTACCTCCCGTGTCGAGGTCCTCGTGTCCCTCAGGCGGCGGCGCTCGGGGAGGCACAGCGCGTGGCCGCCCTTGGTGTTGCCTTTGGTCCTGGGGGGCGAGGGGAGGGGAGGGCGCTCGCACAGAAACTAAAAAAGTGTCTAGAATAATATATGTTTTAATCATGGCTATTTATGGCAGTTTAGCACCTCTCTGTATTAGAAGCTGCCCTGACGCGTTTTAGTTTGTGCTCAAGGAGGATGAACCTCTTTGCTTAAGTTTATCGGCAAAGCCCCTGGGAGCACCAAGCCCCTTTCCCTTCACCTCAGCTTTCCCTCGGGAGCACCCAGTCCCTGTCCCTTCACCTCGGCTTTCCGTGACTGTGAAAGAGCACGTTCAGCTCTGGAGTTAGCTGCACTTATGGACCAGGAGATTAAAAAGCACTAAAGGTCACATTTTCACTCTTATTTTTTTGCCTTCTTTCACCTTCAAGCTGTCTTTTCCCCTAGAGCAGAGGTTTTCTGCATGGCCAGTGCTAGGGAAGCGGCTGGAGACATCAGTCCATGTGGCTGTTCCTGGCCTGGTGCCAGAGTGTGGATGCTCCTGGCCCGGCTCCCAGGGGCACTTGGCTCCTGCCATTATCCCAGCTCCTTTGCACGTGAATTGGGGTTCTGTGATGAAGTTTTAGGAGGAGAAATCGTCGTATTTCAGCTGAAGCCCTGCGCTCCCAGGTGTGTTTCCCCGGGGAGGCTGAAGAGCTTTTGTTTTCTCAGAGGAAAGTGCGATCGCTCTGATGCTTTGGTAGGGAGTCTGAGAGCAGGGAAGGGTCTTGGATCTTTTTTCTTAAAAGCCCACGTTTTGAGTTGTCCTCTGTGTTACAAGGCATTTAGTTACCTAACTAAAACTAGCGCTCCTGCTTCGAGGAAGAAGGTGAAACGGAGCGGTACGACAGAAGCCAACCTGTTCCTTCGTCAAACCGTTGTATATTAGGGCAGCCGCTACTTTAATTTATGTGCTTCAGAAAAGGGATGAAATGGAGCAGAGTGTGGACTCCTGTTTTATGTTCAGATGTCAGATATATACAAAAAATGTACATCTTAGTTGCCTGGAATTAAAAAAAAAAAGTATATACATTTACAAGCTATTAAAGGCATGATTACTGACCACTCTTGATTTCCATCTCTTCTTCTCCCTTTTTTTCTCTTTCCTCTCATGGTTTTGGCCAACCTGTAAGCCCTGGGCAACGCTAACCCCGGCTTCGGTAGCCATTCGCCCCTAGGGGCGAGCAGTGAAGCGGCCTGTGGAAAACTGCCTCCCTGAACGCAGGGAAGCCTTAAGATCAAGTTACACCTCTGAGCTTGGCGCAGACGAAGCTGACACTGGACTAAGCGGTGCCCGCGCTCCGCTCTGTCACGGAGCCGCCCCAGCTCTCGGCGCTCCGGCCGCTCCTCGGCAGCGGCACATCAGGCTCCTCAGCTTCTGTCTTAGCGACTGCTCCCATGAGGAGTCCTTAAATTTTTCTCTTAAACGTGTGCCTGGGGAAGCCGGACACGGCAGGCCAGGGCTTGCCAGGGTGAAGAGGAGAAAGAAGATCCTGGAGGGAGAAAGCAGCAGGAGGCAGCCTGAGGTGGGTGTGCGGCTCAGGCCCCGCTCCTGCCCCTCGCCCTGTGCTCCTACCCTGTGCCTAAAACCACATTTGATAGGGTAGAGGGCCAGGACATTTTGGACCATATGTATTTTATTTTATATATTTTATTTTTGTCCCAGCATTGGGAAACCCCGAGGTTTTTTCAACTCCCTCTTTTTCTCTGTCAGCAATTCTGTTTCCTTACAGGGTCGCTCCAGGCCCCAGCCCCATGTAAGCAGGTGCTGCTGCCCCAACCCCATGTCAAAAGATGCTGCTGCGACTCAGGCAGCGCCGTGTCCCCCAGCAAGGGTCCTGCTGCCTCATCAACCCCTCCTCCTCCTCACAGGGGACAGCGCCACAGCCCCCTGCACTGCAGTTCCTGCCCTGTCAAGGCCAAACAAAGAATCAAACCCGAGACTCGAGGGCGGCTTCCCCGGCAGTTGCCGCATCCTGAGCTGAACTGCCTGTCTGTTCTAAAGGCTGCAACGGGTGGCAGAAGGGTCGAAGCCCTGGCGCTGGGGAGCCCCGGCACTTCGCCCCTTGCTGACCCTGTCGCAGGCAGCGCGCTCCGCGTGCCCACAGTGACCACCAGGGTCAGCAGCCCTCCCCTGTCCCCCTGGGGCGCCTACCAGAGCACTCTGCCCTCTAATAACCCAGAGCACTTGAAAAAAGTGCACTTCAGTACTCACTGTCAGCTTAATTTATTAGCAGAAAACATGTTTTGCTGTAAGGCAGGTGATTAACAGAACTTCTGTAATTTGCAGTCAAGAGGCCAAATAATTGCTGGTAGTTAATATCTGCAATTAAAGCGGTTGCTCTGGCATGGATGGAAAAGACCCAAAATGCCTACGGGAATGTCATACACACACACACACCCCCACACACACAATTTATAAAATATATAACATTTCATTTCTTTGTTTTAAATACATTTTTCTTTTTGTGTAAGACACAAAATCCTGGAGCGCATTCACAAAATGAGCCCTCCACAGTTCTCCGGGCACATGGGTGACACCGCACGCGCAGAGACCAAATCCCCCTCACACTCCTACGGGCAAAGATAACGCACCTGGAACGCCAGGAAGCAGCAAAGACAAAATCTGGAGTCTACAGAAATGCACGAGCCTCGGGATGAATCTGTAGAAACATGGCATGACAGAAAAGGGACTGCTAAACTTCCAGCCTTATATGCGATTCCAAATTTCAGGGTAAAATTTGGATGAAAACCTGTTTAAAAAAATAAATAAAATGTAGAGTTATTCCTAGTTGTTCCAGGATTCCTTCATGAGCTACTGTGCCAAGCCAACCTTTCTGAAGAGTGCCACAAAAAACAGCTGCCCCCTGCTTCCCTGGGAGGCTCGTGTTTCCCCTCTGCTCACACGACGCGGTGCTGCGAAACGAAGGCGGCTGCATCCCGCGTGGCCGAAGGGCGGCAGTGCAGGCGGCGGGAGCAGCGCTGATGAGCGGCTCCGACGTCCAGCTTCGGAAGCACAAACCTCTACCCCGAGCCGTGAGGAATCACAGCTCCTCACTGCAGCTGGCAGCATCGCGGATGGTACCTTAAATCGCATGGCCAGCTGCTACACTGGGCAAGAAGAGGCCTCATGCCACATCATTAAAGCTCCTTCACAGCCTAACCACAGCTTTGCCCTAGGTCAAAATGGGTGTAGGGAGAGGGACCTCTCAAGATGAGATGCAACCCTGGCACCTACCCCAATAACCCGCTCAGGACTAGCAACACCACGAGGGTCAAGTCTCAGCTCCTTTTTTAAACGCTCCGTCCAGGGTCCACACGTCGCTACTCAAAATGCCCGCACCTGGAACGGCGTGGGCTGCTCCCGTGGCACGCGCGCCCCTGGTCACGAAACAGCAGCCCGAGGCAGCCCGAGCTCCTGCACTCCCTGCAGCCCCTGATGGGGCCGAACAAGCAGCACCCTGACCATGCAGCCTGCCAGGGACACCCAGCCGACCGCCCCAGGCCCGGGTCCAGGAGGTGAGGGAAGCAAAGCTGCTCTCTGCCTGGCTTCGCCGCAGGGGACGCGCAGAGTGCTCAAGGCTTTCCCAACTGCTTTGGAAATTGCTCTGTACTTGAAGAACTAGGAGTTACTCTGCTAGCCCAGAGCTTAGAAATCCATTTCCTCAATTCGCAGACCATGCAAAACAGACACTATTTTACTATTACTCTGACCTAGCGGCAGTGAATTTTCAGGCTGTTTTTTTTTTTTTTTTTTAATGCGTTAACAATGATTAGCCACCCAGTTCCTTCCATAGAGAACACAGGTAACATTTTCACTCCCAGGAACTTCTAAATTAAAAATTCTATAAAACATTTCAGACATCATAAATAAACTTATTCTAAAAACCACTTTCCAAACAATAAATAAAACCCTTCCCTATTTGAAAGTGCGAACAGGCTGCATTATAAAAGTACAGAGCAGGAGTGCCAAAGTGCTGATTATTCAATAGTGGCCAAGACACAACTTCTTGTTTTGGTGCTGCTGGTCATCCAGTGATTTTGCTTTCTGGACTCCATCTGAGGGAGAAAAAAAGAAAACAAAGGTGAAACTTGTTTAATACAATACTAAACACGAGAAATACTTGGGGGAAGGCAGTGCTTTCTTCTTTCCCATTTTGAAGATCAGGCAAAGCACCACAGCAAGGGGAACATGCTAAGGAAAAAGAGCAGTCTAAACTGGAGTTCAGAGTTCAAAAAGGACACGCACCCTCTTGAAGAAACCATCGTTAGAAGGACGAGGCCCTTCAGAGGCTGTCAAACAAAGCATCCCATGACTAATCTTTCCCCAGTTCGGTCTGAAAACCATTAGCAGAGACACGGGCAAACAAGTGCTGATATTATGCAGGGCTTACTAATACTCATAAACAGTGCCCTGAGCAATTCCAGGACTCCTAAGAAAGCAGTCAAGAAAAAAAAAAAAAAAAAAAAGAGAGACCTCTGTTAATCTGGCTCACTGCACGCTGGGAAGCAGCTTGTAGCGTGCAGCAATTCACAAGGTGCAAAACCCACCCGCAGCCTCTCCTATGTTCCTAGGAAAGGACTCAAGGCCTTGAGTAACAACCAGATCCTTGCTGGAAAATATCCCTATGTCTGAGCTAAAATTGTTTAGCTTCTTTTTTTTTTTTCCCCATGATTTTCCCCACTGGCTGCGAAACACTTCAAGGGCTGACCCTGGATGTCAATGGTGGGTCCTTTCTGCAGCACTTTGGCATAACACTCATCTAAACCCCGCTGCCAGAAGGTGGCAACTCCCTTGCTACGGGGTGCAGGAAGTCAAGGCTCACGTGTGACCTCAACTGCCATCAAAACAGCAGAAACAGGGGAAAAAAAAAAAAAAGAGAAGAGATTGAAAAGCTCTGGCATAGAATCTACATCATAAGAGAAGCACTGGAATTTTCCACAAAACATTTAAGTGACTTGGCAGAGACCAATTTCCCCTGAAAAACAACACTCCTAAGTACTTTAGAATCTTTTTAGATCATGATATAAAACATGATACAGTAGTCTGAAAGGATCAATGTGCAAAACAACATTATTTGATAATAGGATTACTAGATTTTGTAGTGAATGCAAGGGTCAAGCATTTGTTAAACTTATGTTTTGGGCTTATACTTAGTTCATCTACCAAACAATTCTGACAAGTTTTCACAGCAAAAATCTAGCTAATTTTAAGTAAACCCAGAGGAGTTCAGGTTTGTTTAAAATGGAATGCCACTGACTTCAATCATAAAATGCATTAGAGGAAAACACTTACTTTCTCTGGCTGCAGGATCATGGAACTCAAGGACATTAGTGTGAAATGGATTTATTTGCCACTGTAAGAGATGAAGAAAAAAGTTTACTCACTCCAGAAGACAGAAAAAAAAAGTGGAGGGGAGAGAGAATATCCAATTTATTCCCTTGAGAAGGAGAAACAAGCCTGCTTGAACCAAAAAGTGCTGCAGTTTGTTACAGTGAGAGCCCCCAAATGCAGGTGCCCGCCTCTAAAACACACCAGTTGCAGGAAAGTTCCCCTCTTTCAGGAGGGGCCTCCAAAAGCACAGTCACCTTCCACATCAGCCGCTGTTTTGCACAGGAAAGGCTAGGAGAGAATTCCAGAGAATTTCCTTCCACCTTCAGGTGGAGGAAACCTCCTCAAGCAGCACCAAGAAGTTAGAGGGAAACCTGCAAGGAAGGAGCACCACAAAACAGGCACATTCTGCCCTCCCCTCTGGCAAGGAGCCCCCCTGGTGTCCTTGCAGAGCAGCCTCCCCATTCCACTTGCTTTGATTAAACAGCACGTGGTGGCGGGGGGGACACTGTGTTGGCTGCCCACGTTTGCCCACTCTTCCCTCTCATCCTGCTGCTCCAAGGTCTAAAACAGAACTAAATTTAGGCACTTACTGTAAATTTGCTTAGACCCTCGAGTTCATCAAACTTCATGTAGGATATGTCTGCTTTCTTTTTTCCAGCATCCACGTCTCCTGCATAAATTTGCTTGATACCAGCCCCTTTGATTAAAGGTACGCATTCATCACAGGGACACTTTGTCACGAATATCATGCTTCTCTCATCTGGCTTTATTTCTTGACACCTACGAGCAGTCAGAAACAGAATTGCCAAGTCCTGTCTTGCTAGTTTGAATGGTGACAACTTGGTATCTCATGGGAGCAAGCAAAGAAGTGCTGTTATCCTCTGCTCTCAGCAGCAGCTCACTCTTAGTCAAGTGCACAAGTATAAGATGACACCTGGTAGGGTTTATTGTCCGTGAATGGACCCCTCCCACCATCTTTCCACACTAAACTCTCAGAAACCTCTGTATTTCATGCTATAGCACAGCCCTAGCAGAGGCTCAGGCTTGTGCTGGGAGGACACCAGACACCCTTTACAGGAAGGTCACTCAGACATGCTGACCGTGTCTACCCTCACCCAAGCTCTGCACCACAGGCATGGACAGGATTGTGACCGCAGCCCACACCCTGTCGCAGTGATACCGTGCACGTGCCCTGGGATTTTTGTGCATTCATTCTCTTCTGTGGTAAAAAAAATAAACCCATTACCTGAACGTCAGGGCGTTCTGCTCAGCATGTATAATGTATCTGAACTTTCTGATCTCCCGATCTTTTTGTTTATCGTCCATGTGTGGAAAATCAGCGTATTCGGACCCAACAGGAAAGGCATTGTAACCACAGCCTACAAAATACATGGCCCCTGTTCCATCACAGCTTCTCTGCAATGCAAGAAGATCATTGCATTTGGAGATGTTTAAAGTGTGTACTAAATCAGAGTGTTGCTCAATATACACTGCACATTTTGTTTAGCACCTGAGCATTTTGAAATCTTCTTAAGTTATAGCAATCAAACTAACTGCAAGTCTGTGCAAAACTTTTCCACAAAGCCCCACAGGGGCTGCCTGGACCACAAACAATACAAAGCCCTGGGGTCTAGAGGCTTTTCTTTTAGCAAGTCACACTGATAGCAACAAAAAGTCTCGAGGATTCGGTCATTAAGCCTTTCTGCAACGTATAACAAAAAAGAAGGCTGGAATTTGGGCTGCACTGTCAGGCAGTGATTGCCCTGTTGCCTCTCCAAAACCCATGTGCAAAGAGGAACGATGCAGAGGACACACACACTCTGTCCACAGCTGCAGCCAAACTTTGCAACAAAGACACAAACAAAAACTGAAACTGCTCTTTCATCTTGACCATGTAACATTGACAGCCAGTAATTTAGTTACAAAAGAATGAGAAGTTCAAATTTTCTATAGCATTGTGGGTGGCTAAGTTCATACACATGTGCATTTGTCAAAGTAAAATAAATTCCAAGGGGATACACTTGTGTGAATCGTGAGTACAAGAAGTGGTAGCATTTTCCATACTTACAGATTTTCCTTCTGCCCAAATAATAGCTCCAACTCCTGTCTTATGGTCCTCTGAAATACAGGATGTTTAGCAGTGAGCAAGCAAGCAGCACATAAGGTACTTGAACTTCACCTACATGCTAGTATATGTAATCAGAGGAGGAACATTCTGGGTGCTTTGTGGATGAAAGCACAGGAAGCTTGTGTGACAAGAGCTTCAATGTCACACGAGTACACTGCAAATGCAAGCGTGCAGCCTGCCAGTCAAAGAGCTGGCAAATGTTGAGAAACAATCAAAGCACATATCAGATATGAAAATGGGGGCCAAGAATGTACAGAAACAGCTTAGCTCATCCGAGACTGCAAAACTGATTTTAAAAAAACCCTATTTACTACTAAAATTGACCTCTGCCAGTAGCAAAGTTCATAATTCTGTCATCTCAACTCCTAAAAAGGAATGGTTTTATTTTATACCTAACTCACAGACAAAATGTTAAAAATGCAATTCTGTGGGCTGTTTCCTATCTCTACCACAGGAACACTGGAAAAATAAAACAAAACAAACAACAACAACAACAAAAAACTATCCACTATGTGACTTGGAAGTCTTTGACGCAACTTGGAAGTATTCCCTGGAGTTACTGATGAGTCTTGACCAGTTAAAATGGAGCATATCAAGGTGAAAATAAATAAATAAATAAGGCTTCCACAGCAATGAATACTGTAGACAAACTTGTTTCAGATAACCATTTCTCATCACCCTTCTTATTGCTACCACATACCCTCACTCAGAAGATCTATTCCTGCCACAGGCTGACAACTTTATTTGCCTTTTACTTACTTATTACTCATTGACATGCATTAACCCAGCACAGAAAATGACCTCTCGCCTCTGACAGTCTCCTCTACAATAGTGTAAAGCATCTGTGTGTGGCAGCTGTGATTTATTTTAATTTCACATAGGAGCAGGACTTTGCATCAGGATTAAAACAGACTAAGAGTCTGTTCAAACACAGCCCTGAGTCCAGGCTGAAAAACACAGATGCAACAGAACTTTGCTGTACCAATAATAGTACAATTTAAGCCTCTCTACACAACATTAGTTATGCAACAATCACAGAGCTGGCTCCAGGCAACTTCTGAATTAGTTCTAAAATCCCATTTCCTTTATCACTTTTGGTGACAAAAAACCTAAGCTTTAAATATATACCACTTGTTGTTCTACAAAGGTTTCAAAAAGCAATTGTCCTATCTAGATGGAAAAATCACTAAGGAGCACCACCAGATTTTAAGCTCCCAGAACAGTCATCTCCAGGAAGATTTATCAACTTACAGCATTGCTGCACAGACAGAAGCAATCTTCATCCAAAAATATAAAGCTAAGTAAAAAACAAACAAATAATAACAACAGCAAAAACAAAACAAGAAAGCCTGTGTGTGAAATCTCCAAAATCTTTGCAAACAAAAAGAGAGTAGATAATCTCCTGGAGGAATGCTATTCCACTGCTGTTTTCTGAATGAGCACATATAATATCAAATAGATGCCAATATATTAAGCATAAGAGAAAAATCTTGTGAAGGATCAACAAAAAGGACTCAGAGCAACTCGAAGAGATAAAATACTATTGTTTTCTTTGAGACAGATGACACGTGTTGGCAGGACAGGCTTTGCCAGCACTGTACATGAAATGCACCCATTTTTGTCTTGTAAAAATTAAGTGCTTTTACAGATTTCAAGACGTAGGAATGGAAGCGCCTGCTTCCAATCACCCCGTAACAACTCACCTGTCCGGTAGGTGAGCAGCCTGGCTTGAACCATGCAGTGCCGTGCAATTTCTTGAGGCAAACCCCGATGACATGTTTCATTTGTAGCCTGCTGCTCACGGCAGTAAAACCCAAAGCTCCCGAACACCGGGACACTGGCAGCCACCGTCGCCAACACCAAGACAAGGTCCTTCATGTTTTGTCTAAGGTTGCTGAAATAAGGATTTTCACAGAGATTCTCCAGGCCTATTGTCCTCAATATTTGCTTGTGTGTTTCTTCATTTGAGATTAGGAATAAACTTTCATACTCTTTTATTTTTTCTTGTCTACATTCAGTATAGAAGTCAGTATTAAAGTCAGGCTGAGATCTCGCTATTTTTTGAACAAAATCAAATTTGGTGGAAGTCTCTTCAACAAATTGCACCATATAGCACACTAAGGGCTGAAGCAAAACACATACACGGGCACGACTGTTTGACTTCAGTCTTTCCACTGCTTTGGCATCGAGCTTTGCATCGTCAGTAGTCATGGGATTGGATGCCTCATTCTGCAAGCTGATTTCAGGATCGGCAGGCCAGTAAGAAATTCTGTTCACTCCAGCTGTAAGACAAGGGAATGTAGCAAAAGCAATTGTGCAAATACAGTGTAACATAAACCTCATATTTAACACACTGCCTCATAACTTTGTTTTTACTCTGCTAAGGCTTGGGTGCTGCTTAAAGGGTGTTCTTTAGCTTAGCAACCCAAGCCTAACCATCAGGCTTAGGGTACCTTGGGAAAGTGTCACCTGTACGTCAGAATCTCAGTGCTGCATCCCACCCAAGAGACAAGCTCCCTAGCAATACTGGTGGCACTGAAAAATAAGGTGTCGGTAGCAAATCCTTCTTTCTGGATCACCAGCTGCTGGAAATGCACGTTCAGTTCTGCTTTTACCTTTACCCTTCCGAAAGACGCCAGTGCAGGTTACGCAAGTTTGAGATCAGGACTGACAACTGGAACAATCCAAGAAGAACACTGGCTTTCTCACACCACCACACCTACTGCTACTGCACTACAGTCATTTGCTTACCGTTTACAATCATTTTTAAACATGTTGAGCATGGTTTTCTGGAAAAATAAAGATCACAGTTTTTAAGTCTTGATCCATGTTTAATGAGTGCAATCTGGCCAGCGTGCAAGTCTGCACTGGAACAATGAAGACCAACAATCTTCATGTTTTTCACAACAACAAGACCACTCTTCTTTACCTACAGGAAAAAAAAAAAAGTATCACTACTTCACTACTATTGATTTATTTTAGCATCCAGTTGATAGAGATTCCACAGCTCATTAACTTATTAAATTTAAACTCATTTACACTAACCCTAGCAAAATGTAATACCGGAGTCTTGTGCTTACTCATGTACTTATCCTGCGTAGTCTATTGTTAGAATATGCATTTCTGAACACTTAGTTTTTAAAGCTTTATAAAATATATAAGTTAAAATGTTAATTGCCAAACAGTTTTTATCAGTTAACAGTTTAGCTTTTCTTGTAAGTGATGTTGATAAAAAAAGGGTATTATCATGCTCACATCAGTTAAACATAACACAAATTTACACACAAAAAAATAATTTCAGGACATGCTGTTCATAGAAGAAGCCTACCTGCTGAAGACCTGGCATCTCAAGCAGGGTGCAACACGCTATAGTAACACCCAGTTAGCAAGCCAGAATCAGAGTGTACTGCTTCTCAATACAAATTTAGATATGAATCATAAACACTGCTACATTTCCTCTATACAACAATTTGTTTCCTGCAATTTCTAGGTGTACATGATAACATACAAGTATTATGCCCCTGTTAAACTTCAAATCAGGATTGTCACAAATTCCCATCTTCCCTGGTCTAGGTTTTGTTTATGGACAAAACACAGGGAGCAACTCTGTCAATTGAAATTGAAAACCTCTCTATTCACTCCCTGGAAGTGTTTGGCACAAAGAAACAAAAGGAAAGGGAAAGGTCCCTTTGTTTGGCACAAAGGAATAAAAGATTCATAAGGAAATTCTGAAAATCAGTCATTGCTCTTATTCTGGGGGTACTCTGTGTGATACAGGGAAACCCTTTGAGATTGCTGATGAATTTAATTTCTGTCTTAATCGTGACCAGCCTGAGAGTCAACTGCTTGTCTAGCTTTTTTGGTCTCTTCATTTACAGAAACCAATCTTGTTTCTAAAGAAGCTTCTGTGAAAAAATCTGTTTATCACTCACAGTAGCTTTCACATGTACATTCCTGTGTTTTCTGGAGTACCTGTCACATGTCATGTAAAAAGGAATCTGGTTAACTGCACTGTAGAAGCTCTTAGCACTTGTTCAGAAAAATCAGTTTACTGTAAATGTATATACCTTACCTGCGATTTTTTCTGTTGCTCCAATGAGGGAAGAAAAAAAATACACTGTTTTAATATCTAAGATACGCAAGGGATGCTGCACAGCCTTTCAAAGGCAGCTCCCTGCATTCCATATTTCCCTCCCGTGCATGCCAGGAAGGACACAGTTGGAGGGGGAACAGGGAAGCTGTGGACAGCCAGTGGAGCCATACCCAGCCTCTGCTTATGGGGAGGTTATCTTTGCCTTTAAGCTCCAGGATATGTTTTCTTTCAGAAGTGCCCAAGCCTCCAGACAGGAGAAACAAAACTGACACACGGGTATGTCAAAAACTTCGTGCTTTTAACAACAATATTGAATTTTCCATTTTATAAAACAATGTAGAAGCATATAAAACAGGCAGTCCAATGTTGCAGCAACCCAGCATGCCTATAATGAGGGCTATGACCAGCTGTAGTGTCTTCATACACACATCTCCCTGTGCTAGACCCAACCATCAGAGTTACCCAACCTGGCTACTTGGTGAAAGGAAAAAGAGCCTTTCCGCAGACTCAAATAAAAATTTTGAACAATTTCCAGATTTTCTACACCACACCTTCAACTAAAGTTAATCTGTCAATTGTTTCTGCTACAGCATCTAATACCACGCCATCCTCTTCAGGAAAACTGCTTGTCCACCCAAAACACTTGCAAGCAGATGCAGACATCAGCTTTGTAAACGAGAGAAACTGGTGACGTTTTCACTGAAACTCAGAGAGTTAACTCTACTAAGGGGTAAGAGGTAGAAATTGTAGAGCAGGTACCACATAACTCACTGCCCTTGTATAATTCACAGATGCTTAAGGAAACCTGAGACACATCTTTTAATTCTGCAAAAATATCTAGGTGCACACCATGACCCTAACAGCAACAGCACAAGCAAGGCAAGTAACCACTGCAAAACCTACCAGCTGCAATGGCTTTAGCGAAACCTGCTTCTGAAATAGGATTTTATGAGAAAAATCCAGCTAGATTTTGCTTAGATTTTTACAAAAACCTTCAACATTTTTCTCAAGTTGTCACTTCTGACCAAATTCATAGCATTGCTGAACATGCCACAAACAAAAAAGGAAATCCTGCACTGGTCTCTAAGGCTCACACTATTCCTGATATAATGCTGTCCTGCCTTACACTTCACAAGAGGTTAATTAAGACTCTGAAAATGCTCCAGTTCCTCTTTCAGTGGTGCTCACAGAGGGCTGTAATGAGCACACTGAGAAGGATTTTTTTTTAAGTAGTTCTAGTATCCTGGAAGGGGCATAGGCTGATACCTGGATTGTTTTCGTGGGGGAAAAAAAAAGGGGTTTGGAAAGGGGGCTTAGGCAGTTTTATGATATGGCTGCCAGCTCCAACAATTAGGACAGCAGATAGACACACTTCCTTGAAACCCATGCCTAGAACCCCATTTTCGCACAGTATTTTTGCACCTTTTTCCGCACAGAAACAAGAGCAAAATTACTGGAGATTTTGGAAGGAGACAAGGATCCCATTAACAGCACCAGCTGATGCCACATTGCCCGCTTAGACTGCACAGCTGTGGGCTCGGTGCAAACGCACTGCAAGAGGCACCTGGCTAGCAGAATCACACACGTGTGCTGCCTAAAGTGCTCACTTTCACAAATCTTCCTCATGCTTTGTTCTCACTTGCACAAAAGAAAAAAAAATGGTAAAAGTAAGTCTACAGGGCACGTTAACATAGGCAAAAATTTGTTTCTTAAATGCTCATTCAGTTCATTCATGCTATCAGTCAGCCCTGTTCATACCTGTTATACGCCGTGCACAGACCCCACACAGACCCCTAAAATAAACAGTGCACTTTACATCTACTCGCACATCACCCATCATGACTTAGGTGATGGATGAAGACTCATGATAAAGAGCAGGTTTAAAGCAGAAAAAACAACAACCAGAAACAACTCTGACCTGCTGCTTGTTCTCCTGGGCCTAATCTGAACATGACATGTTTAATACATTGGAAACAAACCAGAGAATGGACTGGTGTGCTCCCTGTTATGAACTGACATGACTTTATAATAAGCAGAAAGATATTATGATGAAACTGGTCACAATTATGACTTACATATACCCTCTCCTTTACTCATTTATGCAGTTATTATTAAAGTTCAAGAGAGTGAAGAGAAGACAGATTAAAGTGGCCTGGAAATATATCTGAAGGTGGAGGACACCTGCAAATCCCACCAAACTTGAAAGCAAGCACAGAAATCAGGGAAGAAAGAGAAGGAATCAGTCTCCATGTTATTGCTGCTGACAGCAGAACTACGTGATAGGTGCATCACATCCTCATATGATCCCTCCTCTACACAGCTCAGCCTCACTCTTGCACAAACACACAATCTTTCTCCTCCAGGATAGGGCTGCCACAGCATGGAAGCCAGGCATGCGAGTGTTGAAAATCCTGCTACCCGGACACTGGCAGGCAAGCAGGAGCACGGCACTGCCGAGCTGCATCCCGAGGGGCAATGTGACTTGGGACACTGTGACAGCAAAGGACTCCAAGTTCAAAGCCTGAAAAAATAATAAGATCTCATCTTACAAGTGAAAATTAACATTTTGTGTTGAACATCCCTGGAAAGGGGGATCTTGGTGCCATCATTTTAACTCACCAGGAAAAACGCAAACCAGAAATCATTTATAGAATTCACTTTCCTTGCTCACTTGGAAGCTGGATTCTTACAGCACTGGGAAGAACCAAACTGCATTTACGGCTCAGAGAGAGACCTGGTGGCCCTGTTGTGGTGGCCACGCAGCTCCTCCTGGGACAACAGCCACAGGAGGAGTAAAGTGTGCCAAAATGTGCTCAGTTTGGCGCTTCACAGACTAGTGACAGAGTTGCTCTCTGCCAAATTTGTACCTGGGCCCTATTATAAAGGTTAGCAATGACACTTCGCAGAAGGGGAAGGCATTTTTTTAATCAATTAAAAACACAAGCTTAAACCAATTAAAAACCTCGACAGTGAGAGACAGTATTGGTTAGCAAAACGCCTCCTGAAGCGTTTTGCTGGCAGACTGGCAGAGCGGCGCCAGGAACTTTACCGCAGCCGCAAAAGGCAGCGGCGGGAAGGAGCAGCCCGTCCCAAGGCCCGGGAAAGGCCGCCAGGAGCCCCGGGAAGGGGAAGCCCGTCCCAAGGCCCGGAAAGCGCCGCCGGGAAGGAGAAGCCCAGCCCAAAGCCCTCACGGGAGGACGACGCGGAGCCGGTCACCACAGACACCCCCTCCCCCGCCGCCCACGGCGCCGCCGGCCGTTAACGGCCGCCGCCGGGCCGGCC